TTCTACACCTTATAAAACACTTCCACGTGCAAAGCGGGGCGGGGGGGGGGGCTCATAAGCACCTGCTGAAGGAGGCAATGTTTTACACACACACACACATGTGTGTGTGCGCGCGCAGACACTGGCTCATGGCACTGTACCAGGCTTTTTTCTTTCAGGCCACCAATCAGCTCCCAAATCACGACACAGAGACTTACTAGTTTTGAACGCTCAGCCTAGTTTAGACATGTTTCTGGCTAGTTCTTTTAACGTAAAACCTGTTTCTCTTATCTACCTTCTGCCTCAGGGCTTTTCCCCTTTCTCACTTTCACTGCTTCTCTTATGTCCAGTGGCTGCCGGCTGCCTGGCTTCTTGCCCCAGGCATGTCCCTCTTTCTCCTCTTCGTTCTTCCTCTTTCAGCCTAGATCTCGCCTCCTTTTTTATTCTCTCTGCAGGCTAGCCCGGCTTGTCCTTTCTGTGCCTAGCTATTGGCCATTCAGCTCTTTATTAGACCAATCGGGTGCCTTAGGTAGACAAGGTGAAACAATTGCAACACATCTTTACATAATTAAACAAATGCAGCAGAAACAAATGTAACACACCTTTACACAGTTAAAGAAATATTCTGCAGCATAAACAAATGTGCCACATCTTTGTCTTGTTAAGGTGACATTCTACAACAACAGCACTATACCAAACATTTTAACTTCAGGAACTTCAGTTACTATAAGCCTGCAAAGGACTATGATTTTTGTTTCAGGAAGGATAAAATTGAGGCTCAGAAAGACGAAGTGATGGATCCAGTCTCCAGCTCCATTGCCTTCCTTTAAAGCAAAACGACTTTAGTTCTCTGAGATCACCTGCATGTGCCATGCAAGACCCTTCCACTAGTGGGTGATTTAGCTCTTCAGTGCCTCTATCTCCTCGGCTACAGAATAGGATTGTGATGGAGACCAAGGCAGAGCAGGGGACACTCCATGCATGGCACCTGAGAAGCACTCTAGTGTTCCCTAGTCACGTCCTCCTTAAAGTGCCACTCTCCTGGTCTGAGTCTCAATTTTGCCATCTGTAAAAACGAAGGGGTTTGACTCACAGAATGGCCTCCCAGGCTCGTCAGCTCTGACTTTGGGATTCTTTATGGCTGAGGTAGGGAGGCCACTGGTAGATTTTTCTATGCAGATAGATGAGGGGAAATGGGAATCCCAAAAGATGAAGTGACCTGGCTGGAATCACATGGTCAGCTACTGGCCAAGCTGGGGAAGGATCTAGAGCTCTGAGTTTGGGAGTTCCATGCTACTGGGCTCCCTCGACTATGGCCTGCCAATTCTTCAACACTGAAGAAGATAGGAAAGCATTTTGTTTGCACAATGAGAGAAACACAAGGGGGTACCAGCCTCCCTGGAGTAAAGGGAAGTGGTGTAGACACACATAACCCAGCAACGGCCTTCCTCTCAGTCTGAAGTTCATGTCCCACCCTATGTCCATTTCTTCTCCTAGACTGGAACTGCCGCCACCCGACAGCCCAAAGCACCTGAAGCACCTTCACTATTTGCTAGGATCCCAGCTATAAGCATTATTCATTCACAGGTGTTTCAAAGCCATCTATCTATTCAAGCTGGCCTAGTTGGCGGGGGAGGAGGGAAGGAGGAGGGGGTGGGGCTGAGTCCTAAAGCAGCCAAGGAAAGGCATGGCCAAGCTGCCTGGAAAACCAATGCAGAAGCAGATTCAGGACTGGAACCCAGATTTACAGGCCCCTGATCCTTAGAGAAAGGATCCCTAAATACTAAGTCAGTCTCCTGGAACAGGTGTCTAGCTCCACCATTGCATCTCAGGGCCACCAGATTGAGTTCTTGGCGTCTTTGGATAGGCCTTCCGTGCTGCAGCCCAAGCTAAAGCTGGCACAGGGGAGAATGCCGTGGGCCTAATCTGTCCCTGGAGAAGGCCTTGTGTGTTGTCTAGGAGAGCTGAAGTTTCCAGTGACCGAGGCACACTCGGCTTGGCATGCAGACCTTTGGGGAGCAGTGAACCCATGCTGAGGCTAGCCCTGGGTTTAAAGCTTGGCTTGCCAAGTAGAGCTACTCCATGCACTTGAACAAGTGATTTTACCTCCTCAAACCGGTTTTTTTTCCTCCCTGTATAAAGTGGAGGTAATGGCTTCCCTATTCACCTCTCAGGGCTCGTATGAGGCTGATCCATTTAGTGAGCGAGCCAGTCCTGGGAGCTAAGGTCTGTGTGGAACCCTGCACCTGTGGGGTACTGTGCAGTCCTAATCACAGCACTGGAAAGTAAGCAGCAGCAGCCAGGGAAAGAAGGAAAAGAGGGCTCACCCTGGCCATGACCTTGCTTTCAAGGTCACACAGATGAGTAAATGTACCAGGATGGGACCCATGATCTTAAAGCCAGACTTCTCCTTCCACTGAAAGCACTTTGGGAGACTATTATCACATCCTGGCTCAGTGGTCATATCACAGCCAGTTGATGACATTCCCTCAACTGTAAACTTGGCTACAGAAAGTTAGTCTTCCCGCCTTGCCCCGGGCACAGTCTGACTGGTGAGTTGAAGAACTGGCTGATGCTTCCTTAGAGCGGGGTTGGCCAAACAATGGCCTGCCACGTGTTTTTATAAATAAAGCTTAGTTGGAAGAAAGCCACACCCATTGATTTATGTGCTGTCTATGGCTGCTTCTGTAGGACAAGGCAGACGTAATTAATAGGTGGGACAGATTTGAAAACACTGTACAGAAAAAGTGTCTGACCCCTGAGGTGAGACGTTCAAGGAAGTGTCTCCGTGTACCTCTGACCTTTCGGCTGTAGTCCAAAGCAGCAGCACGGGAGTTCCTTGCCAGGCTACCTCTCCAAACACTGGCCACTAGTAAGGGAAAAGTAGGTTTTCAAAGGAGACCTCGCAAGGCCTTCCTTTTGGGTGTTCCAGAGAAATGTTGGCAGAGTGAACGGCCTTTGCTGGCCAGGACAGGAAGGTATTGACTAAGCCTTCTCCACCATTTTCTTTGGTGGTTAGCTGGCACCGGTTCAATCTGGGCAGAGAGAAACCTTGGATTGAGAAATTCGGCTGAATAGTCTTTAGATCTTAGAAACAGAATTATATAAACACCCTAGAATGGCCACTTAGGCCAGGCCTTATGGGATCTCTGGTTGTAGAAGAGGAGCCCAGCCCCAATTAGGGGTCCCAAGTCACTCAGAGAGTATGAAGAGAAAGGCTTCATAGAAGCCATGGCTCACTTGACACAAATACCTGGATCTAAAAAGCCATGCATGTCCCAAATCTTTTCCCCCAATCTCTGTCATTTCAAAGGCTTCCTTGTTTCTAGATGGATTTGGAAGTTGTGGTGTTTTCCAGGTTTTTTGCCCAGCTCCCTCAGCCCCTCAGTCTGGGGCCTCTTGTCCAGAAATAATCAGGTGAATTGCCATTGATTCATCTAGCACAGGTATCTAATGTCGACTTGTAGGTTGGAAGAGTATGCATGCATTTATTTTGTGTGACCTTGACATCTCCACCTGTCACACTCAAGAACTGCACAAGCCTGACCCTCCATGTGCGCACTGCCAGAAGCAAGCCCACAGACATGCACACACATACACAAATAAATGAATAAATGAAAATGAGAAAGAGCCACATAATCAGGTTACAAAGAAAGCTCAATGTTTTAAGTATACCTATGATTCTATGTTGGGCCACATTGACAGCGATCCTGGGCCACGTGTGTCCCTAAGGCCCTGGATTGGATATCTCTAGAAAGCTCAGCATTTTGACAGTCAACACTGCTCTGATTCTATTGTATTTGTTCAAGTCAAGATAGCTCCAATGGATATAATCTATATGGTCCTGCTCTAGTTAGGTCTCAAGTCATCTTTACAGAGGGACATCAGTTTTCCTTCGCCTGTCCTCTGTCCCAAGGAAGTCAAGCCCACACCCACTCACTGGTACCCAGTTCACTACACTTGCCCTGTGCAACCTGGTGGCTGCTGTTCCTTTCTTATCCCCTACTTCCCCTGCTCACCATCCTCTTCCCAGATGCTGTTGGGTCCTCATGGGCCAGTTTGAATCATCACTCAGCCTCTCTTCACTCTCTGATACCACCAGGCCATGCTGTCTCCTACTCTAAAATTCAGTTTCACTTATTGAACCAAACGCTGTGTTTCTCATGATTAGGAGACCTACTCTACAGAGTTTGCATTCTGGAATTCATGATGTGGACTCTATAATCACAAAGTATGAAACTTTAGGCCAAGTGCCTCGCCTCTCTTGGAGTGTTTTCTCACTGTAAGATGGGAGTGACGCCTTTTTGTCCAAGATGTCAAAATGACAAAATGAGTTCGTATTTTTCTAAAGAGTTCTGTTAGCCTACTAAAAGCCTGAATACTTGTGGGTCAGAATACTTGTGGCCCAGTGCCACCCCTTTGCCTTTGAGTCCATGTGAAATGAGAGCTGTTGCGGGGGGAGTGGGGGGAGGATTAGGGTCATGACAAACCAATCACCAATCCCTGTAAAGCCCACCCCAAATCCAAGCTCTGCCTAAATGTGCTAAGTTCCTCTGACAACCAGTTCACTTAAACGGCAAACCAGCGATTTCAAAACTACATGTTTTCCTAAGAGGCAATTCCAACAAAATGCCGTATCTTTAAATCACCATGGCACAATGTGCAGCATTCTGTTAATGATGAGATACTTAAGCATGCTTGTAGGTGACTTTTTCTGTGATATTGCCTATTGAGCAGTTTTATGGCTTTTTAGCAAGTTTGTCTGATGGCATTTTCTTTAAAATTAAATCTCTTTGGCACTAAATACTTGTCAAGTCTACAGAATTTCTCACCAGATTTATCAAACGTATCTATTCTGACAATTTCTGTCTCCTCATTGTGTTTTTCTCTGCATTGTGTTTGCTTGTGCGCACCTAATGGGTTTATTAACCAAATTAGCATGTACCCAATGTTCCTGTCTATTCTGCAAGATATTGACGTTTTGACAACAAGCATGAAAAAGTAAGACAGATGGGGCCGACTTGTATTGAACTCCTTGCATTTTATTTTTCAGGCTATCTCATTCATCAAGCAACTCCACTTTGTGAAACATAAAGTGATACATACAAAGTCATTACCAAATGTATTTATGACTGAAAACAACATTTTTCAAGACAGGCAACCTGGCTAAAAACTCCTGAAAGTATTCCAAAGCAGATAAAACAGTAGACACCCACCAGGGATACAAAACGTTTAGTACAAATCCCACCTTTGATCAGCATGGCCTTAAATGAATCACTTCTGGAAAAAAAAAAAAAACAAAACAAAAACAAAACTTTTAAATGACACTGCCAGAAAAACGGGGACATTCGAAGAGACGCTGAAGGACTTAAAAGGGCTCACATTTATGTGAACTGGCCCTTAAACATAGACAGTCCTTTTGTGAGCTTGTGGCAAATCGGTTTGAGGCCAGTTGACCTAGAACCAATTTGGGAAGCAAGCACTTACCTCCCGACACGTGCAATCTGTGGGCACAGGGACAAGGACGGCCCTTGGGGGAAAGGAATGCCCCTCCTGAATATGACCTCAAAGAGTAAGGGCAAATTGTCAGCTTTTAACTCTTTATTATAAAGACATATTTACACAGAACAATCTTTACAAACACAGCAAACACAGTTAAGGGGACAGGTGTTTTTAACTCAAAAGGCCTTAATATCTTTATATAAATTAGTATAAGAATCATACACAACCACTTTAAATAAGACAGCCCACCAGGCCCATTCACTCCTCTCTTCTCTTGCGATCTCCCCTCTATCTCAGCCGCTGTCCTCTTCTCTCCCATTCCCTGTGGGGCTGGGCATGGCAGGCTGATAAGGCAGGAGACGCAGAAATCACAAAGAGGAAGGAGGCCCGGTCCCTGGTAGGGGTACCAGCAGTAGAAGAGGAACCAGCCAGCCCTCACTTCAAGCGCAAGGGGTGAGGACGATATGCCTGGCCCAGCTCCCCAGGGCGGGCTTTGAAGCGCAGCAGTAGCAGCAGCAGCAGCAACAGCATTAGCAGCAGAAGATGGGAAGGAAAGGCTTTGGGGAGGGGTGGATAGGCAATCTTGGGGTTACTATGGGGCTTGAGGGTCCTGACTCCCCCTGCCCTACACATCTGTAAATGAATATCAAGCTTCTGTCTTGTCTTTTCTCCCTCCTGGGAGGCCTCTGAGAAGAACGTCTGCTCAGGCAAAAGATGAGGGTCTCCCTTCAGGGAAGGGCTGCAAAAGACTCCTGGCAAGATATGGGGCCTCAGCTGGGTGGCGGTGGCGCACGTCTTTAATCCCAGCACTCGGGAGGCAGAGGCAGGCAGATCTTTGTGAGTTCGAGGGCAGCCTGGTCTACAGAGCAAGATCCAGGAAAGGCACCAAAACTACACAGAGAAACCCTGTCTCGAAAAACCAAAAAAAAAAAAAAAAAAAAAAGATATGGGGCCTCTTGGTGGAGTGATAAACCCCACATACACTTCCTCCCATCTCTCCTCCTTTCTTCATTCTCTCCTTCCTTTCTTACCCCTTCTCCATCCTCTGACACTTCCCCCCAAATCCACAAGAACAAGGGTCTACACAGGGGATCATGACAACCAGGGTCAGGGGCTCAATGGTAGATTCAGTGCCTGAGAACCCCAGTTAAAGTAGCTTGAGCCCGAGCTTGTGGCTGGGACCTGGCCTGTGTGGCATATGTCACCACTTAGGGTATCTTCCAGGCTGGGCCGGGAGGGGGAAGATCCATGCTCACACTGGGTAGTTCACAGCTGGCTTACCTCTCCCTCCCCGTCCTTCCCAGCCACCCTCTGCACTAAACCCAACAAAAGGCACTTCATTTGCTTTGAAAGGACATCATCGAGAGGAAAAAAGATATCATAAAGTGGGAGTTGGGGAGACCTGGTCCCCACTGAGACTCTGCAGTGGTCTGAGCAGGTCAGTCCCCTCTCCAGGGCCTCTGTTTGTGCAAGCTTTTGCATAAGGAAGCAAGTGATCTTCAAGGGTCCTTTGGACTCTGACTTTCTGTGATTTTTATTTTTTATTTATTTATTTTTTGGCAAAAACAACTCTCCTGCTTAGTTAGCTTTTACTCCCAGGAGGGAAGAGAACCATGTCAGGCTCAGCACTCTCCCCTTGGGACTTGGAGACTGAACTAGCTGCAACAGAGCAAAGGATGAGGATGGGAGAAGACACAGTGACAAAATTCTTCATGGGCCCCTCTCCTTTGCCTCTTCCTCGACAGGGCCAGAGAGAGCTGAGAAAGAGGCCATGACAGCTATTCTCCTCAGCCCTTCACCATGCCCACATTTCAGTGTCCCCAATGCACCTTCTCTGGATCCCAACACCCAATCCCTCTCAACCAAAGTCTCTTGTTACACATCTCTGTACTCCGTTTTACGTGAGAAGTCCAATCAATAAGAAAGTGTGAATGTGTTTGGAAGGAATGAAGGAATCCCTTGAAGAAGGGAGTGTTCCTGCCCAGTTCCCAAGATAATGAGAAGAGGGAAGGGCCAAGTGAAGGCTAAGGCCAATGGATAGGGACTAGAACATGGAGCAGGCTGAGGAGAAGCAAGGTCTCCAATGGCAGTCCAAGGAGTGGCCAGGAAGATGGGCCAAATGGATCCTTGTGAGAGAAATGGAGTCATCCAAATGAGGGGCAGGACCATGCCACTAGAGGAACTTGGTGGGTGAGAAGAGCCGAGACCATCAGCAGCTAGAACAGGTGCAAGACGTGAAAGTTCCAGAGAAGAGAACGAATCTGTGGAGTAGACAGAATGGCACCGGATGAGCACTTGCAGAGCCCTTCAATCCTAAGAAGACAAAATAACCAGAGAGAAGTCACAGACATATCCTAGGTTAAGGGAACCTCCTAGGAAAAGAGAGGAAATAGAAGTCATGCCCACTCCACCCCTACTCCCAAGACACCAAGATGATCCCCCTTGTTTCCGGCTGCAGTGGGAGGGGAAGCAGGCCAGGCCTCGGGGACCCTGCTCTCGCTGGCCACCTTTCACTCTTCCCTGCTTCTCACAGCTCTGGACACTACCACCCAAGCTCTCCTGTCCGCTGCCTGACAGTCCCGAGGCTCTCTGCTGTCTTCCCATTTGCCCCTGGCCCTGGGAAGTGTGCACGCTGGCTGTCTGTAGGCATGCCCTCCGCACACCTCTCCAGCCAAAGCCTGCTAAGACTTCCAGAACTTCTCAGCAGCACCAGCCTGTCTAATCCCAGGCAGAAGGGTGGAGGAAAACAAAACTCAGCTCTTGGGAGGGAGTCAGGAGATTGGCCTCAAGTGCTAAGCCCTTCTCTGGGCCACAATCTCCTCTTCTATAAAATAGAGGAGTGTGATAAGCACTTTACTAGCTCCCAGGAAGCTCTAAGCCCCTGGTGTCTGCCCTTCAATAGCAGGCTGTCTATCCCCTTTACCAACTGACAAGGGGATCAAATACCTGATTCAGAAAGGCATGGGGCCCTTATGGGAGAGACGCGGGCGCTGTCTGCGGAATTTCCTCCTTCCTCCCTGCCAAGGCCCTGGTCCAGTCCTCGAAGCTCTGGGCTGCACCAGGTAGCGCACATTGCCTTCTTCTAGCCCTTTCCCATCTGGAGGCAGCATCAGTGGCACTGTGGAGAGGAGAGAATCGGTTAGCCAGGAAGATAGATGACGGAGACAGCAAAGGAGGCCACGGTCCACGGAATAGTGCAACTTCTCCACAAGGTGGCGCCCCTCATAATTTTCTTTTGACCCTGATGAAAAGATGTGCCACTTGTACACTGCAAGCAGAGCCACTCGTTTTGCCATTGAGGTCACTGATTTTATATTCTTTGGACAGTTATGTCATGTATCTGACAGGCACAAACAAGCTCTTCCTTTGGAAATGTCATGATTAGGGGTGCACTCTGCAGCATCAAGCCTATCCTTGGCTGGGGTGCACAGACAATGATCCCTACGGCACCCGTGAAGCTGGTGTACTTCAAACATTTCAGACACACAACATCACAATGATGCTCCTTCATGGACTCATGCCCAGATGTCACAATTATTGAATGGAATCATATTCCTTTTTTTTTCTTGGCTGCAATATTTTAAAGCAATACCAAATGCATGACTCCCTATGATTACATCCTTGGACAGGCAGGGTGACCCACTTCTGTGTGCTAAAGATCTCATCTGTCCTTCTTGGACACCTCATCAGTAGTTAGGGATCTGTGAGGCTTTTCCTTGCTCCTGAGGCTTCCTTGTGAATGTGGCTGGGACACAGTTGACTCAGTCTGCTTTGCACTGGGGTCTGTTCAGCCTGTGACCACATTTAGAGGCTAATAATATGGCACAAGTGAATGAATGCATATGTACCAGGAGTGGGGTAGGCTGTTGGGGTTGGCACCACCCCATCAACCTACCATTCTAGATCATACCTCCTATTCAAAATGTGATACAACTTCTTTCCACCTGGCTTCCGTTATACCCTTCCAGGCTCCCGACTCCATCTGCCTACATCAGGCTTAGTGCAGAAGTCATCTGATGCTACTGAGCCCTAATGGAATCCAAGTTGTGCAGGATGTTCTTGGGAAAGATGAGGGAGAAGGCACATTTGCCAGCTCTCACAGCGCCAGAAGTTCAGCCAGGAAAGCTGAGCTAGTACCCAGAGACACCATTGGACACTAGAAGCAGAGAGTGTGCAGGAATGAGATGGTTCTGGGCAAGAGGCAGATGAGTAGGATGCTTATGCAATGCCCAGTATGGGAGTGGCCTTCAGAAACACAGCAGTGCCTAAGGCCAATGATAATGAATACCAGCCTCTGTTCCCTACACCATCAGATTTGCCTTCAGCTATATCCCTATTCCTTGAGTCTCACTGGCATCCACCAAGGAATTCCCACCACTGGCTCAGTTTCCACATAGCAACCAGCTGGCTACCCCTCCTTCCCACAATCCTCCCTGCCTCCAACATCCCCTTACTCTTCCTGGGCCCCTTGGTTCTTACAAGTTTTTCTCAGCTTGCATACAATTTCCAGGCATTTAGCATCCTCTTGGGCCAAAAGTGGGTGAGGTTTGTCCTTGTGGCCCTCTTTGAGTAGACTTTAGGCCTGCTGTTCTTCCTTTCCACTCAGAGCCAGACAAGCACACTACACCTCCCCACAACACACACACACACACACACACACACACACACACACACACACCCTCTCTATCCCTACAACACCCTTCCATTTTTGTCCAAGAAAAACCACCAGGCCCATTAGGACCCAGGGGTTTACAAGGGTTGACTTGCCACACTTTGGGGCTCAGGATTAAAGTGTGTCAATGTGTCAACTGAGCCTCTAAACCTATGATTCATGAAAGCTGAGATTAAAAAATAATATTAGTGCACTGGAGGCAGAAGAACGAAGATGAGAAGGGTTAGTGACTGCTTCCGTTGGACTAATCTAGAGCTGCCCTCCTGCTACCCTCCGTGAAGGGGCTGGGGGGGGGGGACCATTACTTGGTCCCCATCAGTTGATCTAGCTGATGTCCTAAGTTTTAGGATCTCATCAAAGCTTACCCTGAGCCTTGAGGGTGATTCTAAGTGATGCTGATGAGAAGTCAGAACCACAGACACTTTTGAAGGACTGTGTCCAGCACATGGCCATACATAAGGGAAGGACCCTAGGGGCATTAAATAGGTGAGACCTTGGTTCTCATGCCCATGCCTTCAACTACTGGATTTGGAACAACGGTCCAGGCCATTGTACCCTAGAGGTATAGCAAGCATGGGTTAAATAGGTATGGATAGTGCCAGGAAGGAGAAAGTATCACACACACACACACACACACACACACACACACACACACACACACACACACACACATCCCACCATGTCTTCATGGCCTCAGACTGTAAGTGTCTACGACAGTCAGAGAAGACTGGGGGAAGGGCCCTATAGGAAGGGAAGTCAAGAGCCAGGATGAGCAGCATGCTGACAGTGGCTCGGACTCAGGCCAGGAAGATGTCTAGACTCTAGATCTGCAGAGAAGATCCACCCTGAGCTCAGCCAGGCCTGGGAAAGTGGCCGCCCCAGAAGCCACTTGGCCTCTTCCATCCTATTGGGTTGGAGCGCATTGTCCTCCCCATCGCAGGAAGTCTGTGCTCCTCCTGCACTCTGATCCCATCACCCACTCATTTCCTACTTTTGCTGCAGAGTCTAGTCAGATAAGCCGATACCTGAAACCCTGGCTTTGTCCTGTCTGAAAGAACAAATTAGAGGCCGTTGATTCTCATCACTGCAGAGATCCTGGCTGTACAAAAGGCATTCCCCTTTAGAGATGGGGAACACCCCAATACACTTCAATATGCCCTTCCAACTAATTTTCTGCTTAAAAGGAAGCAGGAGCTATTTCCCAGAGAATCTCAAGCCAAGAGGATTGGAGCCCTTGTTCATAGGAGTGAGGCAACAGCATTTCCAAGCTGAGAATTGCAGCCAGGGGAAGAACAGGATTCGATTTTCATGCAACCTGAACTGCAACCCTGCTGAGACACAAAAAGGAGTCTGTGAAACTTTTCAGGAACATGCCGACCTCAGCAGGCATGGTGCAGCTATCTTCTTGTTCGGGGTCTGGTCTGCAGAGCGATCGCTTTAAAAGCCCACCCCTAGGCTCTGGTAGAGATTCCACCAGTGATGCTCTGTCCACTGCTCTGCTTGTGTCTCTGAGATATGAGACACTCTTCTTTGACTGTACATCCACCTTCTCCGAGACTGTGCTGTCTTCCAGTGGCACCTTTGCTTGTCTGGACCAGGCTCTGGAAAGGCTGCCCTTCGCTTGACTAGCCTTAGGACTTTACTGCTGACAGGCCTGGCTCAGGTTACAAGGATACCTAGAGTTTAGAACTGGAGATGGAGTGGCGTCGATGTCCTCCATAGTGGGAGGGGTACAGTAAGCTGTCCTTACACTGCATGCTGGAGTAGAAGCTGCCAAGGGGGAGGAGAAAGAGAGAAAGCGGTGCTCAGAGACCAAGGGACACTTGGCCAGGACTCCGAAACTCTCAGACTCAGAAGAGCAAAGTATATCCTAGGTCAGGAGGTGGTGAGAAGTCTGTGTAGCTGGAGGAGGGGAGAAGGCAGGTGAACATTCCAAGTCAGAACAGAAAGCGGAAGAGAAAAGGAAGCATGGTTTTTGAGCCTGAAACTTCGAGGATTCTAGCTGTGGAGAGTTCGTGCAAGTCTGTGCTAAGGACAAGGTTCTTCTAGGGCTCCACTTTCTAGACCAGGACACAGGAGAAGTAGAGTGCACAAATCTGAAGCTCTGGCTGCTGGCTACCTCCACGAAGGTGCCCTCCTTGGCTCGGGGAGTGATCAAGAGGTGGGAAAATAGTGGGAGTTTTAGAAGTCACCAATGCTAGTCTTAAATAAAATGTAAGGGTGATGCTTATACCCACATTAGGGTGTGCAAAAGACTTAATGTAACAGGACGAGACAAAGCGAGAAGTTTCAGGGTCTGGACCAGAAATCCAAGGTGTTCCGGCAGCCTGCTTAACTTCCTTGAAATCAGGTCACCCCTGTACTAGTAATACCTCAACAGCTAGACCCTGAAGGGCCCACAGAGTATCTACTAACCTAAGTCTCCCTTATACCCTCCTCTCACCCTCTGGGGAAGTTTGCAGTTCCAGGTGGTCCAGCCTCCTCTGGGGCACCCTTTCTGTACCCAATCATGTTCTCTAAAGGCACCACTCAGACTATTTGCCTGAAGTCAAACTATGAAGGTGTGGTTGTCTTGCCAACCATGTTGGCTGTGTAAGCTCCAGGATGGAGGGCCAGGCTGCTGTGGTATCTTTATTCATACCTTCCTGCCATTGCCTGACCGGCAGGAGTTGCTGGGGAGAAAGTCTGCACCCTTCTTCCCAAGGAGGAGGCTGCCCTGGTGCTAGGGTCTTTCAGGAGACCACTGGACAGCTACCTAGAGGCAGGAGGCATCAACCAGGCCAGTGTGCTTTCCTGAGAAGCCTGACAATGTACTGAGTGCAGGGCAATGCCAGGAACAAGAACACAGAAAGGAGGTGGTTACAAAGAGAGGCAGGCAGAGTTGGCCAGGACCCCAGAGGCTCCCGGGCAGCGGGCCATCCTCCTGTTCTGGAGGGGTTCAAACTAAGTAAGTTCCTGAGCTCTTCCTCTAGGAAGCCCACTGTCCTGTTCTCTCTCTCTCTCTCTCTCTCTCTCTCTCTCTCTCTCTCTCTCACTCTCTCTCTCTCTCTCTCTCTCGCTCTCTCTCTCTCTCTCTCTCTCTCTCTCTCTCTCTCTCCTCACTCTCTCTCTCTCTCTCTCCACTCTCGCTTCCCTGTGACTCCAGCCCTGGCACTGGCAACCGTCCACCTGGTCCTGACCTTCCCTTTCTGCTGTGCCAGGCAGGCTGCAGTGACAGCCAGATCACAGGACTGGGGGCAGCTGAAGGTGGGAGCTGGCAGCTTCAGGAAGCTCTGACGCACAGAGGACAGGCAGCCTGGGCAGGGGCTCCTGGGACACTGAAGACCCGAAGTAGGCAAGGAAGTTCCAGTGCCAAGAATTTCCAGGTGGAGGGTTGGTCTAGGTGGAAGTGAAAGGAAGCCCCTTCCTGTGCTGGTTTGGTATCTGGAGCGGGGGGGGGGGGGGGGGGGGGGGGACGGGACACGACGGGACCGGGACCAAAGTTATACCTGGGGCAAGAGAGGAGGATGAAGCCAGAATATAGAAGAAGCAAGTCTCTGGAGAGATGGAGGCTGTGGGCCAGGTGTCCCACAATGGAGCAGGGAACGAGATCATCCAGGACCTTGGGGAGTACAGGAGGAGACCAGCCGAACCCTGTCCAGTCCAGATATGCCTAAGTAGGCTGCCTCTGCTTACACAGAGGCTGGAAGGAGCAACAGCTGGGATCCACTAGCCACTGCGGTCGCCCCCGCCCCCGCAGCGTGCTCCTGACTATGCAACAAGTGTCACGTCTACATGTTGGCACATCATGCCCAGCCGCTTGAGCCCCTGAACTTGCCAGCAGCCCCTAAACTACAAGACCCAGAGACCTTCAACGTGGAGCGCTGGCTACTCGGCTCAGGTCAGTCGCCTCCGCTGATCCACGAGGTGAGCTGGACATGCCCCCATCCTCCTCTCCCGGCACCACGTGGGGTGCAGGGTGCAGGACACAGGGTGCAAGTCTGTAACCCTGAGAGCCTTAAACTGCGCAGGGCATTCAGGAGGGGCCAAGTGGGGATGTACGAGATAATAGCGAACCCCGCACGGTCCGATGATGAAGCGAGTACCTACCTAGCATGTCGCCCCCTGGCCCCGGATGCCCTGTCAATCGGCCTCCCAGTGTGGCTGGCGCGTGGCTGCTCCTGCAAGACTCGCGCCGGGCTTTCAGGGAGGCGGGAAGAGCGCGAGTGGGGCAGAAAGAGAGGAGAGCGCAGGCTGCAGCTCCAGAGAGCCCCGGGGGAAGCCCGGGCTAGCGGGAGGGCACGCACTCACCTCCACACACAGCAGTCAAGGAGAGCCAGAGCAGCAGCAGCGCCTGCACGCAGAGTCGCAGATTCATGCTGCAGCTCGGTCTGCAGCGGCCCTGAAGCGCCGAAGCTGGGCGGTGAGAGGCCGGGGTACCCCGGACGCTGAGAAAGGCGCGAGCCGGGGCTGGCGCGTGCGAGCACGGAGTTCGCGTGGCTCCCGGACCACGGGAGGGTGCGCTCCCCAGCAGTGGCGCTCGCTGCTGGCCCCACGCCTGCTCGCCGCCTCTGCTCTGCAGCAGCCTCCTCTGCCTCCGCGGGGGTAGCGCCGCGAAGCTGGCCTAGGTGGCTCTGGGACAGCGGCAAAAACTCTCCAAGTGGACGGCTGTGCTTGCTCCGCTACTCGCAACTACCCGCTGGTCCAGGCTGCTGGAGAGACTGCTTCCCGGCTCACTTCGGGGGCTGCATTTTGTAGCTTGTGGTTTGGCCGCGAGCCCACTTGGTCATGTGGTCATCGGGAGGGGCTGGGGGTGGGGGGGGGAAGAGCAGGAAGAGGGAGAGGGAGCGAGCCTCCCGCACCGCCCCCCTCCCGGCAAGCACGCTGCAGCCCTATCCAGGACGCGAGAGGGAACCCCCGAGGTGGCCCCACAACAAAGGCTGAGCGACTGCTCGGACAACCCACAACCGGTCCCCGGACAATGCCTGCCTGGCCGGGGTCCAAAGGGTTTGTAGGGACCTGAAAGATTTCAAACACAGGAAGCATTTGGATCAATGGAGGGGCACACTTAACCCTTTCTCACCTGGTTTCCTTAACAGCTGTTAGGATACCTGGGCATTTGGAGGAGGACCCTATTTGGGATTTCCACTACACCCCAATCCATTTCTGACCCTAATCATGTTCTTTTTCCCCTTGTCGCTCTGTAGTCTCAAGTAGGGGATTTACTCAAGATCTTCCCTGACTCCGCCTCCTTTCTCCTCTGCGTCTTCAACTGAATTAAATTGGAGGTGATTGCCTAGGTTGAGCATAAGACTTGGGTAACTGCCTGCCACCCTTATTTCTCCTGCTGTCTCTCAGCAAGTACCCTCTACCTAGACTGGCCCCGTGAGTGAGCTCTTCATGCGCGCAGCAAAACCTCAAAATCCCACCCCAATCTAAAAGGCGTCCTTCTGTCCCTGTGCCCCAACCCGTCCCGTGGAGATGCTGCCTCCTGGTTCACTGTTGGGAGACATTCTGCAGGTACTGTCATGTTCCCGTTCTTGTTTGCTTGGAGCTGTCCCCTACCTAGTTTTGTCTCGTTGTGGGGAGGGGTCTCCCAGCTCCTTCCAAACTCAGCTGGATTTCTTTTACATTCAACTGGGATTCCCCATTATAAAAGGGCCCTGGGATCGGTTGTCTTTCTACTCTGGACTCTTAGCTTCTTTTACAGCCTGGGGGTTCCCAAAGAAATGCACCTCTTCTTTCCTCAGACTGGGAACCCCCTATGGTCTCAATCTTCTGGATCTCTCCAAACTCCCCAATATCATTCTCTGCACATAGGTGGCACTCAACACATGTTAAAAGACTGAATCAAAAGGTGTTTCCACCTTGCATCGAGCAGGTTTGTTCCAAGTGTACATCCAAATGTATGTCTCTATGTACCACAGAGGAGGCGAAAATCCATGGTATATACTATGAAATGTCTTTGAAATGTTCCAAAATTCTAAGGCATACACTTTGTCAGTCTCCCTTCGCCAAAACTGTCCACAACAAAATGACCTTTGTCTTCCTTATAAATGCAGCTCCAGATCAGAATGGTGCCTCGGAGATAGCCGGCGCTTCTGAATATGGGATTTTGAACATATGAGTAAACGATTGAAAGAAATCAAGGGAGTCGGATGTGGGGAAGTCAGGGTTCTTGATAATGGCCTGCAAGCCAACTGGACATGTTGAGGAGGAGAGGCACCAGGAAGGAAAGCATCTCTCTTCATCTGAGGGACCCAGGCTGTGAGCAGGCAGTGTGGCTCATTCATTCTTTGTGCTTTCCTACCAGGGAAGAAGAAACATTGTCCTCTAGACATATCTGCTGTAGGCCATGGCTGCCCTTACCCAGACTTATTGGATAATCTCTGCTCTCCCCACTTCAGGGTGCTATGGGAACAAATGAAATCATGTGCCTGAAGGCACTGTACCAACTGGGAATAAGACCTTACAGAGCCTTTTTTTTTTTAATCTTACTGCCCCATTTCTTGACTGAGCAAGCCTGTGCATATCCAAATATGTGCCCCTCAAAGCCTAATAGAAACTTTCATATTTAATCGCATGTTTACTAGGATGTACGTGGCTATTGCTGAGGCAGGGGCAGGGGTACAACTTGGTGCATGTATTGTTGGGAAAGAGATGAGATGGCTGACCTATGTGAGACCAGCATGTCATTAGTACCCACATGAACACTACGACATACAGTTCAAATGTCATATGTCATTACCATCAGCTATTTAGCTGCCCAATTGACTTATCTACCTCTACATACTATGAGTTTATTGTTTTTTTAAACCTCAGATCTTAATAAACTATTTTAAATTCTGCCCCTCAGTACCTCACATTAGCTGTGTGGCTCCAGGTGCCTTATTTATCCCCTCTAAGGCTTCGGAGCTGCTTCTGCACAATCCAGGTATATATCCCTTTAAACTCAGATGCTGGAACTAAACCCAGATGATAGTATTAAGGGGAGCCTTTTGGAAGGTGATTAATTCATGAGGGTTCCATCCTCATGAGTGGATTGGAGCTCTTATAAAGGAGGTTGAAGGAAACAATCCGATGTTCTTTTCTTTTTCTTTTTTATTCTGAGATAGTCCTGATTGTCCTGGAACTCGCACTGTAGTCCAGACTGGCCTCGAACTCAGAGATCTGCCTCCTCGAAGTGACATATTGAAAGCAAAAAGAGTTTGGAAGCTGTCACCAGACACTAAAACCTGTTAGTGCTTTGATCTTGGACTGTCCAGCCTTTACAACTGTGAGAAATATATAATATATTTCTACTGTACACAAATTACCCTGCCTCTGACATTTTGTTATAGCAGCAGGAACAAAGAGTTATAGTTGGGCAGTTCAGTGAGATAATACACATAAAGTACTTAGCAAGTCTCCCTCTACAGTAGGTGCACATGCAATGTAAGTTCCTCCTTTGCCTGACCTACCCCCATCCCCACCTTGGAGTCTGGCCTCTGGCCTCCTGGAACTGGTCAGGTAGGAAGAGCTCTGTCTTTTCCCTGCTTCCTCCACATCTGTCTTCTTAATAGCCAGCAAACTGATCGTTATCTTATTGCCTCAGAGCACTGATACTTTGGAGGGTTAATCTGATGAATCCAACTGATCTAGGGAGTTGAAGTGTGATAGTGACTTAAGATTATGCTTTCCAGGTACGAAGTTCATTCTAACAGAGCTTTTGGGAGCCAATGCCCCCCCCCCCCCCCCCCCCGCCTCCCCACGCCCTGCGCGCCCCCTCACCCCAGGGAAAATCAAGCTCTACCTTGTCAAGCAAGGAGACTCCCTGGTGACTTTAAATTTACATTTTTCTACCCAGAGCTAGCTTGGTTTCAAAAATCAACTTTCAACTCAAAGGTTCATCCACTGAAGCCTCCGAATGCAAGCCTATTGCAGTCCCTTCCTCTCCACCTGTCCCCATAGATGATGATAACATAACAGCTAAAAATTTATTATACAAGTACTATGTGTTAAGCACCATCCTGAGTGTGTTAAATATATTAAGTTATTTAATCCTTCCATCTGTGAGGCAGGGCTGATTCTTTATCAGCTCCACTTCTTCGATGAGTCACCTAAGGCTAACAGAGGTCAAACCATTTCCTCAGGTCTGTCTAACCTCAGAGCCCATACTCTCCTGTTACTGGGCATCAAGAAGCAATTTTCCACTTCTTGGGTCCATATATTGCTTGATTTGAGCCTCTAACATCTAAGTCATACACTCTTGAATTAGGAAGTAATGAAGCATAGTGGGAAAACACACAAGGCTACTGTAGCAGCCCTGTCACTTACTAAATGGGTAACTTTGGACGAAGCATTAACCTTTTCTGAGCCTTCACTGCCTTATGTGGAAAACAGGCTGCCCTGGCACTGGCTCCCTAGGTTTTTGGAAGGTTTAAATGAATCAGAATCTATGAAGTACTTGGAACAAGGCTCAGTTTTCATGATGAGGTGAGCATTGTATAATTGTTCCGTACTCTCATAGATGTGGATATAGCAATATAAGGTAGTAAGACTGTGTCTTACTCTCTTTGTCTTCTCTCCAGCAATACTGTTACCCAAAGTCAATTCTCAGAGACTGTTCACTGAATGAAAGAAAGAATTGTATGTATGATCATACTAATCACCATTCTAGGTTTCAGACATACCAAGAGTCCTTATTTTGGGCAAAATCATCACAACTTGCCCACAGGATTTTAGATGAGTCAACACCAACAGTTAACAGAAATATTCAAAGACGTGACTACCTTCAACCCTAATTGGACAGTGGTTACTTTTTACTGGAGCAATGCAAATAATGGAGTAAGTGAGGAGAGAGGTCATCTGGGTAATGATGGGCCTGACCAGCAGCAACCAGAGAAATGTCATAATAACAAGAATTCCAATCCCCCTCATGATGCAGATAGAAAAACTGAGGCCCAGGAAGGAAAAGTGGTGTGCGCCAAACTGGTGCAAATGCAGGACTGGGGCACATGAGCGCCCATCCTTGCTTTTCCTCGATACCTTTCCAGCACTGATCTAAGAGGGCACGTGCAGGGCAGTTCCCAGGGGCTGTGGTTAGACACGGGGCTCTCAGTTCACAGTCCAGTCCTTCTCCAGCCAATGTTGCTCACCAACTTGTCCCCTAAGACATAACAAACTTTGCTAGCCGAGTTCAGCAGCAATGGCACTATTTCCTGTTTGTTTGTTTGTTTGTTTGTTGTTATTGCTTTTAAGGCATTTAAGAAGAGCATCAAATCTCCCCGTCTCCAGTGCTGCTTAATCGAAACCTGATGGGCAAACCTAAGGGGTCAGCTGTTAGCTGATGCCTTGCTAACTGGATCCATGACAAATTAACTTCACTTGCTCAAGCACAAATAAAGAATGTGATTTTTCCTTCTCTAGTGTTCAAACACCTGGGTTTGGGGTTTTTTTTTTTTTTTTGGGGGGGGGGGTTCTACAGAAGACAGTTGTGCTCTTTTCCACCAGAGTGACCACCACAGTGCTTGCCATATATACCATGGCAGACACTAAAGAGTTAACTTTCCCATATGAGCTATAAAACCACGGAATGGAGAAGAGAATAATAAGCGTTAGCATTTAGGCATCTGTATTGGCCTGCCCTTAGGGTCCTGACAGGATACATCCTCAGCTGCAGCCACTAAGAGCACCCCCGTGTGCCTTTGCTACACTCCTTTATAAAAGGCAGGCCCTGGCTGGCTCCTGTCTTTTTCTCTTTCTCTTCCTTCACTCTTGTCCTCGGGAAGACGGGAAGACGGGAAGACGGGTCTCTGCCCCTTCCCTCCCCTCCCTCCCTCCCCTCAATAAACCTCCCACGTGGGCTCTGTCGTATGGTGTGACTCCTTCCAGTCATTTTTAAAATACAATATGTATATGGAACCTGGCCTGAAATGTGAATCAGAAGAACCTAATTACCATTCAGAGGAAGTAGCCATATTGTTGAGGTTTCAAGGATTTTTTTTCCATTATTTCTTCTTCAACTAGCCATATGATTCTTCCCCTAGTCTTGTGCCCAATACCTCCTTATCCTCATCACCTATCCCTGGCCACAGAATGAGATCTTGTCTTTCATCCGAACCCTTTTCCCAACCACACAGATTAAAATACTAACCTTTTATTGTGATTAACCTTGATTGTCAACTGGATGGGAATTAGGATCACCATGGAAACAAACTTCTGGGTATTGACTAGGAAAGATTGTCTATATTAGGCTAATAGATGGGAAGACCCACACTAAACAAAGGTGGCTGGGATTCTGGATTAATCATAAATGAGAAAGTAAACTGAGGTGGAGAGATGGCTCAGCAGTTGAGTTCTTCCTGCCCAGTCATGAGGACTAGAGTTCATATCTCAAAACCCATGTAAGAAGCCAAGCCTCCTGAATACTCCTGTAACCTCAGCCTTAAAGGGGGGCAGAGACTAAAGGGTCACTGGAGCATGCTAGTTTCTGGCGAGAGAGAGAAAACACAAGCCTCAGGTTCAGGGAAAGAACCTGCCTCAAAGAACTAGGCAGAGAATGGTAGAAGAAGACATTCGGTGCTCTCTTCTGGCCTCTAAGCAAACACATAGGCACATACACCCATACTACATACACACACATTCAAATACATTTAGATGGTGGGGGGGGCACACACACACAATGAATGAATGAATCTTCTCTAAAAAGATAAGACTGCTCTACCACGATGAACTAACTATACCTTCAAACATCAACACAAATAACCCTTTTTCTTTACATTTCTTTTGTCAGATATTTTGTCATAGCAACAAGACAAATAGCTAATAAAACATCCATACAGTATCCTACCATCCAGAACAATGTCATGACTTTTAGTCCCTTCCTCGGCATTTAATAGTGCTGGTCCATGCTAATTCCTTCTACAGGTGCCTTTTTAGCCACTTTCAAATTGGCTCCACACACCCTGGGAATGTTCAATCCACTTCCACTACATGCTTCTTCCAAATTTCTCAAAAACTATATTCATTCTCAGGTTGTTTAATATATTAAGGAGGAAACATAGGTTCCCACAGATATGTCTCACTTGACTAACAACTGTTTCTGAAAAACCTTATGCCAGTGGGATTCAGATAGTCTACCATATCTCAATTGTCTTTAAAGGGTTCATTCTTAACAACTCAATAGGTTCTAAGAAGGATCTTCCAAGAAGAGCTCCACCTCAGCCCCGACCCCATGACCCTAGCCTAAGCCACACCAAGGTGTGCTTTTTTCCCCCTACATCCTGTCTGATTCCTTCTGATCCTGCCTCTCCCAGAGCCACAGAGATCCCTGCTCCTCTTGTTTGTCTTTCAGAGCAGTTTCATTTCCTCTCTACATCCTCTATGACGTCTCCCAGGAGCCTCCATCCTTCCTCTCCCCTAGGGTCTATAAATACTCTGGTACCCCGGGGAGGCATGGGAATTCTTTCCTCACCAAGCAAGGCCCACTGAGCTAGGAGGGCCACACCCAAAATAGCAGGTTTCTCTCCAAGGTCCCATGTGCCAGCAAACCTTTCTTCATCTTGCATTGCTGGCTGTTATCAAGACTTGAATTAGACAAGGTATTATATGATCTTGAATCTGGAAATGTGGTGTGCTGAGCCAGGGCAATGACTGTTGGGGACTGGGTGTTGGGTCTACGGCCAGCTGGGTTGTGTACTTAATAATAGCATCAAAGACAGAGAGATGATGAGGTCATCTTTCAGCTCCTCAGGGGCAGTCTAGGACTGTCTTGTTTTATGACTGTCCTCAGTATCTAGTTGGCATTTGACAAGTACTAAGTATTCAATTGCTTTCTGAATGAATATATAATGAGCAATGAATGAATGAGTCAGAGCATCTGTGTTTTGGTACCTCAAATTCTTCTAAAAAATAAGAAAACATGCCTATCTTACTGGATTCAGTAAGAATTCAAATGAGAAATGTGAGGCGGACTGGCGATATAGCTCAGTGGTGTAGCCCCTCCCTAGAAATGGAAGGGAAAGGACTTTGTAAACCGAGAGTTACTTTCCCAGCTCAAGGAATCAGGACACCAGTTAATGTAACTAACCATTCCCATGAATGAGACATGAACTGCTCAGGTCTTCGGGACTGCAGGAGAAACAGAGTTGGAACTGGCACAGGACTTGATGTAGGCTTGATGCCTACATCCTTCCGGATAAGAAGAGTTTGTGTAGCTCTGCCATAAAAGAGACAGTTACAAGAACATCCAATTCCCATGCTTTCAGGCTTAATGCTCATAACTTATCAATCACCCTCCGAATCAAAAAGGAAGGGCATTCTCAGCTGTAAATATTGCCTGGAGCCATCTCAAGTATTTAGGGTTTTCAATGTCTTCTTTTAAAACATCTGATCGGGTCAGGTTGAGGATAGGGTGACAGCATTCTGGGCTAAGTCTGTCTTTGTGGTGCTTCCCATTAAGTGATCCATCAGCCATGGCACTGGCTTAAGGCATTGCCCAGCTGACAAACGACTTTGAAGCATGCCTCTTGGTTTTGCATTCTACTTCCATGCCTTCTTGGCTTTCACTGCGAACAAGCAGGGAGGGTATTCACCTCCTTCCCCTTGCTCCTGTAGCACATCCATCTAAGGCATCCCTAGAGGCTCAACATTCCAGGT